CATATTACACAAATCTTTGAGTGATTATGTTATAGCATGAGAAAACTTAAAATATGTTCAGTGATAAATTTAGAGTAGTAAGTTGGACACTTCTGGGTAGTTTTGTTCTTCAAGCAAAATTTCAAGGTTGTTGGTATCTTTAGGGTAGACCCAGTTTTGAACCAGCTCGAAATGGGTGTGGTCAGTATTTTGGTTAGGTCTTCAGGCATTTAACCATGATTCCACATCTGAAACGTTTAAAAGGTGTATAGAATTTAAATTTTGCACAGCAAAGGATTTATTGAGCGTTGGGCCCAAATATTTATGATGCAAATTATCATTTATTTGCTTATTGAGCCACCAGTAACAGCAACTGGGAAAAGAGGCGGCCGTTAGCAATGGTTGCCAACGAGAAGCCTCGCACTCGTGTACAAGTCGCCATATTTGCAACGGTTTCCGGCCATTTTGTAAGGGGCACGCCCTCAAATGTAATCTAAGTAGCTGGTGTATTTAGGAGGCGTTTCTTTAGGAAAATCCAAGATTGGATTCTTAAATCCGGAAGAATCCGAAAACGGATTTTGCGTTTCTTTACTAAACAGATCAATCCAAGATCTTTCGGATCATGGTGCGTCAAAGGAACTGAAGAGTCCACTCTGGTTTTAAGAATCCAATTTTGGATTTTCTTAAAGAAACGCACCCTTAGTGTCAACCTCATTCCCAGGGCTTTTCCCTTTGAAATTTTCCCGTCCCTCTTAATTTCAAAGGGAAAAAGCCCTGGGAACGAGGTAGTGCTTTGATCGCCGCTCTCATTTGAAGCTCCGCCGCCAAAACAAAAAGGCGTGCACGAAATCCCGCCAAACAAGGTTAGTAACAGGCTACCAGAAGGGCGCTAACTCGAGATATGGAGCTGGTGCTTAAGTCGGGGGCTCCATTTGAAATATACCAGCGAATTTCCACTCAGATTTATCAGTACTAGGGTCTGTCTGATCGCTGGAGTGACTATCAACGAAATAAAGTATGTCCGCCAAAATTTACCTGTTGAGGCGATGTCTCTGGTACGGTTCACGTTGCATGTGCAGAGCTGTGTTTTAGGGACCTTTGGACTGAACTACGCCGACGAGATTGAGTAGATTGAGAACGACTATAGACCAGTATAGAGAACGATTTTCAAACTTCGAACCAGTGACCTCTTCATCATGTTGGTTTTAGGTAAAGAGGGTAGCTCATAGGATGAGATGAGAATGTAACGTGATAGTGTAAAGCCTGCAAACTAGAATTTAAAAGTCGTACTCGTACTATTGTAGATCTCGCACTCGTTCTCGTGCTCAAATCTAAAGTTCCCTTCCTTCAATATGGACGGGCAAAAAAATATATATATATATTTATATGTCCCCACAGGCGGCAATCTCAATATCACAAAGTCTTTCTTACAGATGTTAACTGTTGTATTTCTGCCGTGCCTTAGTTTCAGTTTGGCAACACTGACAAACAGAGCTGGTTTATTTCACGAAAAAATCTGAAAAAGGAACAAAAATTTCTTTAAAATTATAGCGTGTACCAAGAGGAAAATCATTCTCTCTTGACTGAAAACATGACCCATTAGATTAGTTTTTTTTTTTTTTTATGATTATCGAACAGCCCAAACGTGACTAATTTATTTTTAAAACTAAAAAGTGAAAAACAGGAAGTTGTCTTCTAGAGTAATTTCCGCACGTAAAACGTCAATCACTAAACAAAAGAAGGCGATGTGTTCAACAAAGACTAACAAGACTACCCAACTAAATTTCTTATCCACGCTACTCACATTAAAAAAGTTTACTTTCTTTTTCCCTCGTGTTTTATTTTTCATTATAACTGCCTCGTGACTAATGGAGCCAAACAATCCGTGCTCCCTATCATGCATTTAGCCTCTCCCATTAGCTTCGCCGTCTCAGGGGGCGGGGCTCAAGAAAGACACTGGGTACTAGATTGCACGGAAGCAAGCTTGAGCTGGTTTGGTAAATTTTTTCTCAGAATATTCCAGCTTTAAGACAGAATTGCCAGTGCATATTCTGTGTTAGGTCTACAATGAAAAGTAACAAGAGTTTCAAGTAAGCGCTATTCCTTTGATAACTAGCACAATACTGACATGACAATACTGAATGACCTTTCACGGAGAGGGCAAGCAATCAATAACTGAGAGAAAATTTTTTTTTTTTTTTGGCAGAACCTTTTTTTAGGTTTTGGAATAATCAAAAACGCAGAGTACAGTTGATTAAGGGATTAGGAACTTGGCAATCATTGACAGTCATTCAAGCACCCATTCCTTTTCCGTTATTGGCAACTACTTCACGATGAGTCACAGTTAGACCTAGAAACTCGATACCGTTTCGTTTTAGATAAGGTTGCAAAAGAAATTCGCATGTCTTTAATCCAGATTAAAAAGTTATCCTACTGCAACAACATTTGAAGATATGTTTGGAAGTAATTTTACTAATTATTGGCCGAGTTAACGCTTCTGTTGTTTGTTGTGATTTTGCCCAGATGTGCTCACGTATGGAGTTGACATGATTGTTTCCTTTGATTGCTTCCATTGTTCATAGTTACGGATCGTGAGATCAGCTTTTTTCTTTTAAAAAAAAAATGTAGCAAGATCTTAGTTATTGTTCGTAAGAACTGAAGAAGAATTAATACACCTAAATCTTGGAAATACGGTGATAAAATCTTTGCCAACATTCATGTTCTTTCTTGTTCACCAGTTTCAGTTCACTCCGCCCACTTAAAGGCGTGTCTTTGATTGACACTTACGTGACTGGTCTGTCTGATGATTCACTAGAAAATTTCCATATGTAAATGATACTGTACGTTTCGAAAGCGGACTGGTTTTAACCTTTCGCCTTCAAGAAAGGTGACGTTTTAACTTCAAGCTCACGGCAAGAATTTTTCACTGCCCTCTTTGGAGGGAAGCACTTTCGAAATTGTTACTTCGCTGTTTCAGAATTTTCAGAACCGCTGACCTTGTTACTGCATTCTCAGTTCCGGGCTGTGACAGGCTCAAAGGAAAAACAAGAGGTGAGAAGACTATATTTTCGGCCTCATTTGGCTTTGACGTTCAACAGTGGCAAGTGGTAAGTGACAAGACATCTCGATAACTGCGTGAACATCTAGTAATGACTTATTTCACACCTGCTGAAAAAGGCGAAATCCAGGCACAAAGTGACTCCGAAAGCGCATGCAAGGTCTTACTGAATCGAAGCGCTTGTCCGCTTGCACTGAACATTTGTAGGTTGCACCTTAATGATTTTCGCAGTTTGCACGATTCCTGATCAGCGGCAGAATTTTGAGACGTCAGTACCCTAATTTTATGATATTTTGCGTGAAGTAAGCAAAAGAATCGTCCACTCGATAAGTTAACTTGTGTCGTAGGAAAATTTTTTTCGCAGTTTGTGCAAATTTTGACAGCAAACTCTGCCTAGGGCTATGTCACAGCAAGACGAAACGTGATGATTCGATCGCGGAATTGTCTTCGCCTGTATTTGGGCTAGACTAATTTGTAGATCGCGATCGGGCATATATCGGTTTGATTTTCAGCCTGCGCATAGAATAAGAACAAAACCCAAGTCCAGGAGCGACTGAGGTTACTTGCATCACTCCATGTGCACGCTTGTGAAATAAGTTTAAACTCGAGATCTAAAATAGGAAAGGTCAGTCAATGAAAACACAGGCATTGACCTTTATTGTTTGAATCCAAGGGTCTGTTATCTCAGTGCAAAAGCATGTCTTATTGCATGCTGTTGTATTTCACAATTCAAAGAGTCAGTTTTTCTTGTTGTCACGTACAGAGCTTGGGGAGATAAATCGATGCTACTTTGCAATATTCTCAAGTGCTAAATCGATTTTGTTTTGGGGGTGTAACCGTGATTTTGTTTCGAGATGTTTCACTTTTCCGCCTTTTATGAATCATGACCCATAATTTCTATTTGGAGATATTATTCACAACTTATAAGAAAATGAAATGTTTCCATAAGGTCGTAATACTAGCAATAATGATAAATATTGCATAAAACGTACAACAGTTTTTAAAGACATGTTTCGGCATGCTTATGCCATCTTCAG